TTAATAAACAATAATGGGAGCTTTTTCTCTAACAAGGATTGCTACATTAAGCTATTTTATAAATCGCTATTAAAATACATATGTAGGAAAAAAGTAAGATTAGAAAAACCCAAAATATCCTCCCGATAATACATTAAGTCCATATCAAGTTTAATTATTAAATTTTTGTCTATTAGATAGCATTTAATTTTTAATTAGATTTTAAATATTTTTTAAATAAAATGGCTGAACAAAATTTGCAAAGTGAAACAGGTAAATTATAGAATATGATATGCAGATAGATATTTAAACTTTAAATTTAAGTGGCGGAAAATGTGCGAGAAAAGATTATACCGGTGGATGTTTACGCTATTTTTTCTAATTTGTGGAAGGCAATAATTTAATTTTATTAAAATAGTTGATAGCCTATATCCCTAGTTTTATCGAATTAGTGTTCAAATCACTTCCAATTATGGTTTAATCCCCATCCCGGCTTCCCTTCCTCGAAACTATAATTTACCGCATTACCTATGGAAAACATTGGGCAATATTCATAATCCGAAGAAACATCCATAGTTCGAAAGGAACATCTATAATTCGAAGGGGAAAGAAAATTACGAAAGAAAATTTTTTCAGAAATCAGAGCAAAAATTGATGGACCGTTTTGATGCAATGCAAAAACAATTATTTTGTAAATTAAATGCAATTGAGGAAAAGTTTGATGGAATGGTACAAGCTTTAGGGTTTGTTAGAAGTGTGGTACCAGAAGAAGCCAATCATTTTTGTGGTGATTTGATAATTGGAGGTAATAGTCAACAACATATGAATCAACCATTAACAGGAATGCCGATTTATGGACGGGGTGGAAATAATGCTAATTGGTTCGGTTTAGAGTTTAGCATTCGTAACAATCTTGGGGAATGCTCTTTTGTTAAAAATTATAATCGCCTTTTACCTCTCCGCAAGCTTAACTCTATTGAAAGAATATAGGTAAATACAATTTTGGAAATGTCCAATATAGGAAATGATTAGAGCATGTCTAAAGAAAGAGAAAGGACCGAGTCGAGATCTCGAACAAAAATCTCGGTTACCTAGGTCGATATTTACAAGCTATCGATTCTATTACGACCTTCCTAGTTCAGTCTCTTCTTAAACTAAAAACAACACCAAGAAAGGTATGAGTCAAGACTCAAGGACAAAAGTCTAGGACGCTCTGGTGTTTGATAATGATATCCGCAAGGATTGAACGATAATACGACGATTATGGCTAACCCATTAGGCTTGATTAGCAAAATATTTTAAGCCGATTTTCGCCTAATCAAAATAATAAATAAAATTTAAAGTGATAGCTATTCACCAGCCATTCGCAATTTATTTGGCCAATTCATAAACCATAACACAATAGTTGAAGAGGAAGCAAATATTCGAAGACATGAAGGATATGAAGAAGTTTGCTGTAATGACACTATAATTACTACAAATACGGATACAACTACTACAATAATAAAGTCTTGTCAACCAAAACATTATCAGAATAATCCTCTTCCTCAGCCTTATTATAATAATTACAACAATAATTATTCAAATTTTAATAATAATCGTTATGAATCATCCCCACCTTATTACAAGTTGGTGCCTCAATTAGTTTTAGTGACTTGAATGGGTTGGTTCGGCAAAAAGAGGCCTTAAGGTTTCCATTGTTACTACAAGGGTCTTTGTTTCTAGGGTTAATATAGTCAGTTGGCCTGAGCCGAGACCTGAGCCGAGCCGTTCAAGTAAATTTTTATTCTTCCCTATATTTTACAGTTTTCGTTCATATAATTACAAAAATAAGCGAAGAAACGGTTATTCTCCTAATAATCGACAAAGCAAATTTTTGGGAAACTCCTCTACTCGATCTAGCACTCCAAATAATTTTGGAGATAATAATAACAGTAATTCTATAATAATTAATCCAAATAATGACAAACGAGGAACTTTTGGCGCTTCTTCTAGACAACGAAAGAAGGCAAGTACAGCACAGGCTAATAAAGAAGGCAAAGGAGGAGATGCTGGAAAAGAGATTCAAGAGAAAAAAGGAAAACAAGTTATTAATGAAAAGGAGGACGTCTTGAAAAAAGTTTGGAAATTTTTTTATTGGAGGGGGGGTTGCAGGGAATATTTTTGGTTGGAGGAGGGGGGGGGTGGGGGAAGGAGAGAAGGAGGAGAGAATGAATGAGGGGGGATTAAGGGGAAGATTCTGACTGAGTTAATTATTAAATTTACATTAAAGCTTCGCGAATGGACTACCCGTTCAGCTCTACTTAGCTACACAGCTAGTGAGGATGAATATGATGACACAACAGAAGATGATGGTAAAACAGAAATAAAACTGAATGAAAGTGATAAAGTGGAAAATTGGAGAGATAGGTCAAAAGTGGTTAAGGAAAAGGAAGGTGAGTTTGAAGTAATGTTGGGTATGACTCCGAGAGCTAGCTCTGGCCGGAATCGAGGCCAATATTTGGAAATGCACGGAGCCGTAGCCATGATTTGAAAAAGGTTTTAGCTGGTGTACTTCCACCTCATCTCCGTACTGATGGGTGTATTTCTGATTTGTTTGACCTCAACCCACAAATCATTTTCCTTCAAATGTTAGTCCCGAAAGCAATGGATAAGTTCAAGTATACAATATTTAGGAAAAGGGAATGAAGAGTAAGGCTAGCGTCTCGGCACCATGTAAAATAAAATTTTAAATTTTTAGCCTATAAATACCCAAAAGCAAGGTCTACAAAAAATGGCACTGCAGGACAAAATGAAAAGGGAAGAAAGAAAAAAATGGAAGAAGGAATTGAAGGCAATTGGAGAAAAAGCGTGAAAAGTTATAATGAAGTTTTGAATGAAGCAAAGGAAAAGAAGAAAGAAAAACCAAAAAAGAAGAGTAAAAGTTTGGTGGATTTCAACACAAAATGGTCTTTATTTTACTCTTAATTTATTTCTAGAAAGTTGAATCTCATTATTAAATACAGCTAAATGTGGCTATATGTTTAGGATAAGTTATTTTAATTAAGCATGGGGAGCTTCGTACCTTCTACTTAGAATAGACTTGATTATATGTAAGATACGATTTTTTCCGACCTGTGTCTTATAGCGTGGTCCAAGTATTTATCTCCTTCCAGGAGACGCGGGAGTTCAAAGGAAAATTCACAGATTCCTACCATAACGGGGTTCGAGCAACTTCGAAACAAAGAATTCTGAAATCGAAATTAGAAATTTCAAAGCAACTCTGGATCAAACTTAGATTTTATAGCTTTGATTCGTAACAAATAATTGTTAAAAATAATTGTTGAATGAATTAATAAAAAATATTTAGGACCTTTAAGGAGACAAAGGAAAATAATTTGAACAAAGGAGGAAAATGTTCGGCAATTCGACGAAATTCAGTGTAAAAAGAAAAATTAGTCAAAAAATTAATAAAGATAAATTTTAAATAATCCGTATACTAATCATAAATATTATTTTGTTCAACTTTTAATATCCATACACTATAACCAACCGATTAATAATTTAGAATAAATTATCTTGTGGATTCAGAAGCTGCGTTGTTTTTTGGGAAAATATCTAAAGGGGGGGGGCAACGAATGACAGAATAAAGAGAGAGAAAAAATCGACCTTAGACAACTGTATCGTGAACCAAACGGAAAAATCAACAATTATTTTCCGAGTATATTAAGAGATTAAGCAGACAGATTAACCCAACAGATTAAAAATAATACCGAAAAATAATATTCACTTGATAATTACACTGGCCAAGTATTGTTTAGACTGTCCTGGAGAAGGACATTAATTGAGGAAGAGAAAATAATCGAGAGGTGTATAAATAAAATCAAGTAATTAATCGAGAAAATTTCTCCTATTTTTATCCCAAAAATTCAAAAATAGTATGACTAGAAAAAAATTTAAAAATTTTCCCAAAAATATATTAAAGTCAAAAAGAGATTCTGTTAAATTTTTCTTATAAACATCAGAATTTACGTCCATAATTATTTAATTCTTTACTTTCCAAAAAATAAGTTGTTACTTCACCCTTTCCCTTAAAAATTAAGAGATTAAAAAATATTTAAAATATTTAGTTGCCTTAATTTCAACTTTTCCTCGTTCAGCAACCACAAAATGGTGATAAAAACATTTAAGTAAATTGTAGGAATTCTCACTGATCTATAGAATTAATTTTTTATTAAAGCAGACAAATTATAATCAGAGGTGTTTCAAAATTTCGATTTTCGATTTTTTTCCTTTCGATTTTCGATTTTCGATTTCCGAATTTTTGAAAAAATTTGAATTTTTGGCGCCAAAAATGAGGAATTCTGGCTTATCGGCCATCATAAATTTAAAAAATTTTCGCCTGCGGCGCAGAAAAAAGAAGATTTTGGCTTAACGATGCTCCAAAATTCTCAAAATTTTCGCCCGCGGCGCTAATTGGAGGAAGCCCTGATCTATTAACAATATTATGCTTCGGCTCCGGTTATTGGGTATTTGCTTGAATTAAGGTGGATTTGGAAGCCCCTTCCTCATGCCAGAACCCTATGCCAGGTACCGCCCAACCATAAGTAAAGCGACCTAGCTCTGCTTTACTATATTAGAGAATTTTACTCAAATCCTCCATTATCCCTCTTAATCCACACAGATCTCATGATGAGAGATCCACTTGAGACCTAACATAACAAAAATTAATTTTCAAATTTTTTATTAAAAATTTTTTTTTCGATTTTCGTTTTTCGATTTTTGATTTTCGAGGTTATTTTTCTTTCGATTTCCGATTTCGAAGATTTTGAAAAATATTTTCGATTTCGATATTTTTGGATTTCTTTCGATTTTCGAAGATTTTTTTGTTTCGAAACACCTCTGATTATAATAAATAAAATATTTGATATAATTTCTTTTTAATTTAAAAATTTATTTTTATTTTATAGTGCGGGTCTAGAATAAAATTACTAGAATAAAATTATAAAATCCTCTTATGAGAACTGCAAATTTTTTAGGAATTAGTTTACCTGAATTTTGTTGGCAACTCCACTTGATTCCTTCAAAATTAAGTAATTACTATTTAAATATTAAACAATAAAAAACCATTCGCGAAGCAAAATTTACAGTATCACCAAAAAGGCAATAGCGTGGAGCTGCCAAACCTACCTAAAATTTGATTTATGAAAATTTCTGTTAAAATTTAATTAAAGCTTACAACACCCGCAGCGACAGGCCCACTATGAAACCCGATTCTGACCTGAATTTTCGATGCAATCTTTTAATTTTAAAAATTAATAACCATCATTATTTCGTCTGGTTTGTGAGCTAATTTAAAATTTGAAACAAACTAAAAGAAATTTAAATTATTTGTGTAAGTGCCCAAAACCGATCGCATTTTTAATCCAATATCAGCAATGTGTTGGACATGGGCATTTCCATTTTCACGGGGAACACCGGAAACGATCATGTAAGCATCTCCAATCTGTTGGAAGAGAAAATAAGGGCAAAAATAATAAATAAAAATCCTCCAAAGTTCCTCACAGTTTCAACTTTATACGCATCATGTTTAGCAATTATAGCATCAAAACCAGAGAAAAGATCATTCAAGAAGCTAACAACTTGTATAGGAGTAGATGTACTAGCTATACGGGTAAAGCCTCGAATATCAGAGAAAAGGACTGTTGTATTGGAATAGTATTGGGGAAGGACTGGACGTCCTGCTTTCAAGTCCTCAGCGACAGATCTGTAAAATTAAAAAGAAGTGAAAGTCAAACATTTCATCATGAAAAGGCCGACTCCGATTTTTAGGCTATTTCTCTACCCCGATCTCCGACAGTTCATTCCAGACATTTTCATTCCCGGAAAAGTTCTCACTGACTTATTGGGGAACGATCAACAAATGATTAAGGTGACAGATTTGGGGATATCCGAAATGAGCTGAATAATTGGATGAGATTTTTTATATGAATAAATATCCGGAAATTTTTGTTAGATATCAGAGCAATTCCAGAGTAAGCGAAATTTTGGTGCAAATTTTTATAAAAATTCTAACGTTGGAAGCATATTTTTAAGAAGGCGATCAGCTTGTTGTTGTGCTTCTTCCAATTGTTGAGTTCTTTCCTTAACTAATTGTTCCAAATTTGTCGTATATTCTTCCATCATTTTCATCATTTGGTCGACTAAAGACCCGCTCCCCGTTGATTTTAAATTTGAATTAACCATTGTTTTCATTCTTTTGATATTTGGACGCATTTCTGGTAATTCAAGCCAACAGGCTTCTATTGCCTTTAAAAAAGGTTTTTTGAATATCGGGATATTAATAATCATTTCTGATTCTAGTCTCATTTCTAATCATAAACTTCTCAAAAGTCTGAAGACCTGGAGGACGCTTTCCAGGTTCTCAGACAAATTTTGAAACCTTAAAATCCATCTTTTCCTATAAGACATGGGAGAAAAATAGACAATTTATTCTATTCACCGTATATTTCTCGATTAATTGACCAGGTTTAAAATTATTTATGAGAGTGAATTAACGTGAAAATTCCGTAAAAGATCCAAAAATTGTTCTCAAAAACTATAATTTAAATACCGAAAGCAACTGAAGATTATATCCCTCTTCATTACTTATATTGCGTTGATTGGGGAATGTCGGACGTATAATTTGATCATTTTCACTTGAAAGAGAAATTCTTTCCATAATTTCTAAAAATTATTAAATTTATTTTTTCCTTAATTTTATCCCACTTTTGGGTTGCATATTTCTCTCATAAAAGGGTTCCAATTTAAACAAAATTTGATACAAAACCATTCCAAGACTATACATATCAGAAGCCGGGGAGCCTTGAGGTAAATGTTTTGAAGAAATAAATTCTCTGATAATTTCTGGTGCTTGTTGGATATATTCTTAAATGAATAAATATTTTTAAGAATAGATTCTGATCTCACTATTATAGATATTTCAAAAATTAGATACATCTCACTTTAAGGATTATCATAAAATTGGTTAGCCAAGTATGTGGAGAAGAGATGGGTCGGGTTAACCGAAGCTTGATACTTGTTCCGACCCGAACACGACCCGAGAAGTATCCTCAACCCGACCCATTTTTGTGTGTAGGAGATGATTAAGTGTAGGAGATACCCCCAAGTTAATACATCCCATCTTTCACTAATAATAAATTAAATTTCAATACTTTTCAAATGCGATTTTTCATAAATTTTTTTGGATTGCTCCAATTCCTCGTCAGAGATTGTACGACTGTCCTCCGTACTGTCCTTTAATTTAAAAATATTTAAAATGTTATTAGGGCCTTTATGTATGCTAATATTATATAAATAAATAAGCTCAGTTTGGCTCTAAGACTCGATTCCGAATGCATATTTTTGTATATTTCGGACTTTTGTACATAACGATAAATATATGCAAACATCGATACTCCCATGCTTATAACATAGAATTTACTTGATCTCCACTGTCCTTCTTGTCTTTCTTGCGTCGCTCACGTTCCTTAAATTAACTTTAATTAAAAAATTCCCAAATCCCCACTCTTTCCCGTTTTTCATTTTCAACATCCTTTCTTTTCTTTATACGTTCCTTCTCTTCCCTTTCATCCGCTTTTTGATCCTTTTTATGCATTTGTTTTTTCTGTGCTCTTATTACAGATTCCGTCATATATTTTAATTCATTATGTCGAAGCTTTTCTCCAATTATTTGTTCCGTCACAAAATTAGTTAATTTAACATTCCAGTTAGAATCTACGAGACAATTTTGTAGACAAAGAAAGCCGTGATATTTTAAAGTTGATGTGTGGATAAAAAAGAGACCCTAAAAGTTAAATTAGGTGAACATTAGGGAAGATTTAATAAATAAAGGGGTGATGTTCTTGGAAAACTACATAATCTTGGGGAAAACCTACTCAACTAAAATATGAATTGAGAATTTTGGAGATGAGTAGTAATAATTAGTGCTGGGGGCCCGATCAGTAGGGCATTCAATTTTGGCCCGAAAAAGTCTCGGTCGGGCCGTGCCGGCCCGAAAAAAATGACTACATAGAACGTCGCCCCGACTCGAAAACCTCAATCCTAGTGATAATACTCGAGTCTAGTTTTCGAGTATTATTTTTTTTGATAATACTCGAGAGTAATTGGGGAACTTATGCTGTTGTTTAATCCAAATTTTATTATTCCAACATTATTTTGGATAAGCTACAGGCATAAATAGATATCCAATATTTTGGACTTCCTAGCTGATGATTTTTTTAAATTAACAATTTCCGCAATTCTCAAATTAATTTTTCACAATTCTTTACCTTAATAACATCTTTGGCAAACGAAACTTGAAAATTCCGACTAATTTTTAATTCTTCATTAAACAGCATATCCTAAATTAACTTAATTTATTAAAGAGAAATTTTACATCTTTTTAACCTCTAAGCTTCCTCTCTGACAGAGAATCCATAAAATTATTAGTTCATTTTGTTGATTGAAGGAAATTCCATAAAATTTATTTAAATTTTCAAATTCAATCATTTTCAACTTAAATTTGAATAAATTATTCTTGATTATTTTTATCGAAAGGCATATTGTAGCTCATCTCAAGGGGTCCGTGTCGGGCTCCTTTACTCGAGAAAGAAAAAAATCCTCCGTCGGGATTCTTCACCTCCTCCATCGGGCTCCTTTAGCTCCTCCTCCTCCTCCTTTTTTATCCGCGTTAGCAGATCTTAAAAAATTCGGATATCATGATCCGCCAACTCTATATTTCAGTCTAATTTTGTGGGGATCTTTTGACCCTTCTACTGATTTATAGTTATCATCTATCAATCTTTACCTCTTTCAGACGTGACAATTCCTCCTTACTAAAACTAATATTTCTTGTTTGTCTAAATCTTTTATAGGCACAACGCACTCCATTAGCATTTGCCTGTTTTGCACTAAGACGGCTATTAGCCACTTCAGTTTCAACACTTCCAGTAAAAGAATCGCTTGTAAAAGATTTCGAACCTCCACTTCTCTAAATTTTTATTTCCTAAAAATTAAAAATAAATAAACAAACGCTCGTCCTAGCACGAGCTTCCAAAAGACGAATTTGTTCTCTCGGTATACGCCAGGTCATATCATAAAGCATTCTCTCTTTTCTAAAAAATAGAACAAATTTTTAGTTAATTTCTGTATTTTCACTCTTTGATGTAGAGAAGATAGCCAATCGGAATTGTAACTGAAAGAATCAAGATGAGAAAACATCAACCAAATAAGACTTTTTTCCGGACTTTTTTCATCACGGAACAAGATTCGAAGGAAAATTCGAAAATCTTGTTTTTCTCTAAATACGTGACAAACCCTAATCCGCGAAAACCTAATATTAAATCTTTTGCTTTCTTCGTAGGGTACATTAATAATGAATGAACGCGCAGTTGGAAAGTAATAAAAGGCCGGAGATATATGGTTAAGTGTCGAATAGATCTTATCATATTCGACATACTAAGGAAGAAGAGCACAATTCCAATAGCAACATAAAGCATTGTATAATCACAAATACTTCCATCAAAACCACATTTTGGCATATCAGTAGGTAAATGCCCATCATAGCTATGCCAGAAATTGCTGTTAACCTCATGGGCCACCTTTAAAATTTAAAAAAATTTAAAGTGCCGTTTTGTCCCAAAACCCCACATGTTCAGAACAATCATTGTCAGACACTGCACATTTCAATTTATCACCTAATCTAGCTTCAAGTTCAACAACAATACGCATTGTCCCATTTTTTGTTAAATAAGTAGCATAACTTGGCACCCTGACAGCTTTATTGTTCATTAAAACTTGGCCAGTCGAACCTTTATTTAAAGGAAAATTTTTGTTGAAAAATTAGCCTAAACCAAGGAATTGACGTGCAGTCATTTTCTTCCAAATAAAAGATCCATCTACATAAATACTGTCATTTTTTGTTTCATCATAAGCATCTCGAAGAGCTAATCCGTACTTTAAAAAATTATTTTTATAAATTCTGATCCAATTTTTATTAAAAGTAAGAAGCCTAAGATCCTCCCTGGTGGTATTCGAATATCCAACATTTTCCAAAATTTCTTGAAAACCCCAGTTTCGGAAAAAAGCTGCTTGACATATGCCAAGTTTTTCCGGCAAGCTAGCGCCAAGAAGAATACCCCTATTTTATAAAATCAGTCTCCAGCCTATCGAGTATTTTGCAAATTTCAAAAATAAAAATCCCAGACTTTTTGGTTATAAAATAAATTATTATTTAAAACAAATTATTATCAAAAATAATAATTTTGCTAAGAATCAGATAATCAAACCCCCATCTACTTAATTTCTTATCTCCTATTTTTCAATTAACTTACCAAATATAAAGCATCATAAAGTGACATATAAGAAAGTGTAGCATACTAAAAATATTTTGGAACAAGAAAATTTTTTTTCCAAACTTACATGACTGCTAATTACCCCAGTCACTTTAGAAAATTTTAATTCAAAATCTTCAATAAATTTTTTGTCGTAGCCATGTGCCTTTTTAAAGTTTAATTAAAAATAGAAGGGGATTATTAGCTTACAGTAATAACTATGGTATCATCAAAAGCCATTTTTGTTTCGAGTTTGTCAATGTTGCTAGCTTCCCAAGGGTAGTGGTCATGCATCTATTTTGGAAAAATTTTGGAAAATTAAGAAAATATTAAAGTCTTACATGTGCTAGCCAAGGGATTATATAGACAAATTCTGTAATTTAAAAACATATTAATTATTACCATTTTTAGTTGTTTTATTGGCATCTTGTTATAAAAGAATATTTACCAGCTGATATATCGGTTTGTATGGTGATTGCCGATGAGCCTGATCAACCCTGAGTTCTTCCTATTTATCCCAATCACACTCCCCTAAATATTCCCCTTTATTTTGGGTATAGTTTAAGCAGGACTTAGGTATTATGGATTGAGTAGCAGGCGTATGCTTTTCGTTTCTAGATGTGATTAATTAATATTTTAAAAAATTCCCAACCATTTGTCTTTAATTGGGTACGATGGATCGCAACCATAAAAGCACGGTTAGTGTGTAAATCAAGACCCATTTCAACAATAATAACTAAATTAAAAATTAATTTGAAGATCACATTTACAAAATTAAATTAAAAACTGTTATCCAGCCCTTTAGGCTTAGAAAGAATTCTAGGACTAAACTAGGGGTCTATTATTTGTCCTATCATCAAAAAAGTGAATTTCGGCTTTCTGATTTTTTTGGCCACATAAAATCCAAATTTCCGACTTACTTCTAGCCCTATTTCTAAGCAATTTAAGTCTCCCTGTAGCAATAATCTCGTCTGGAGTCATATAAGGGTCCAATTCAATTTCAATGTTGATATCAATCTGGGCATCTTTCAAATAATTTTTGAGGGAATGTAGAGATAACCGGTCAAAGTTGACATTTGAACGAACTAGGCCAACCTAGTTTAGAATTTTAAATAATTATTTTAATATTTCTTCTACTTGTTTCCATCCATAAAGTTGAAGAAAAGTTAGTGTAGCACGAGCCATTTCTGTTGCTGAGGTGAGAGCTACAGAACTCAAAGTGTCAAAAACTAGAAAAAATTTTTTATAGTGAAAAATTTCCTATTAAAAAACACCGCTTCTATCGGAAAGTGCATCGTCTCCAGACATGTGAGCAACGATTGGAACTTTAAGTTTTAAATGGCAAATATTTTTTAAATTTATTTAAAAAATAAAATAACCATTCCAACGAGAGACAAGTCTGCCAATAACCAAAATTTCTGTAATTAATTTATAAATACAAAAAATATTTAACTTGGCTTCGTAAAAATTTTTAATGATAAAATGGAAGATTTTAGAAAATCTAAAAAGATTCTGAGGTGAAATTTTTTTAACGAAACTGTGACTATAGCTATCTTGCATTGCTGAACCGTGCTTAGATCTTTATCTCATATAAAACCCTGGCTAAGATGTAGATTCAAGAGTTAAGATTTAAATACTCGATCAGATTTTGAGATAGTCGCAGACTTTCAATAAGGCTGTTTTATGTTTATCTGAGATTCTATTCTTAAAAGCCAACCGCTGATTTTTTGAGTTTAGAAAATAATTTTGAGAACCCAGTTCATAATCAAAAAACCACACTAACAAAACCAAAAAAAACACACCATTATTGCATCCCGGACCAAAATAAACACTAGCATTTCGGACATAGTGAAGGTAGGCGGCGTGTTCAACACCACTGTAGCGGTTACATGATTCCATTGTAAAAACACTAGGAAAATATTTTTAATATCCAAAAAATATCCTTTCTTTACTCAAAACTAATAACATCCGGGAGAATTTTTCGTTCCTTCAAGTTGTTTGAACACATTTTCAAAACCTGAGGTTCGTGTACAATTGCTGGATTATTTGGCTGTAAATGGGCAATTTTTACAATATTGGCAGCATTTGGAGCAAGTGAGATAATAATTAAGAAAAATAAAGTAAAAATCGGAGAATGAGGGATTGTTACTTTATAATGGAAGCTCATCTAAATAATTTATTTTAATTTTGGGTTCCCGAAAAAATAATCATTTTGTTGATAATTTTTTCGGGTAATACCTACTTTGGAATAAACAATTTGGAATTTTGTAAACTCAAGAGATGGGTCCGAATCAAGGCAGTCCGCCATCAATCATCAGTCCTAGCTTCGGCACTAGGGCTAGTTCCGATTTCCGTCTCTTTTAGTTAGAGTCTCCTCCAAATTTAAGGAGAACCTAACCAACATTTAAACCTCGCGTGAATTAAACCTCGAGAAGTGTATAGTATATTTTAGAAAAAAACTTTATTAAAACTTTCAATAACAATTATTAAATAAAGCTTTTAGCCAAGCTCTTTTTCAACAAATTGACAAGTTTGGCATCTTTTAATCCTTCTATAGTAAGAAAATTGAGTAAGAAAATTAAAAGATGGATATAAAACCACTCAACAACTAGAAGTTTTTTTTATTGAAAAAACAGGAAATGCATTAGTAAAAATAATAAAAAATTAAGATTTTGATATCATTAGAAGTTACTTTAAATGCTTACAGGATTATAACTAAAACTTAATTTAAAATAAAATTAAGTGTTAATTAACTAAGCAATAAGTAAGGATGTGGTTTTTTAAATTGAGTTTGAATAGAATTTAAATTTAAAAAAAGCTTATTCTTCTTTCCGTTAACAAATTACGCATATCCGAGATGTCAAGTTCCAGGTATATTTTAATCAGGGGTGGGCACAAAAATCAGGGGGGGGGGGGTGGGCACAAATTTGCACCTTGGGGGTTTGCGTTTTGTGTGGACGTTGGTCTTCCGTTTTGCAGTTCTAAACTTGTTTCCTGTAATCACCGTTGATTCAATTCAAACAAGAACAACGACTGCAATTAGAGAGAGGAAAGAGAGGGTTCATAACTACCTTTAATATCACTCTCTAAGCTTAATGTGATTAAGATAATTTTTCTTAAAAACAATTTCCATTAAGTATGGATTCCTAATCCAGTGTAAATGGAACAAAACTTTCCTTGAAGGATTAAAACTTGAAAGAAAATTATAAAAATTAAAAAGTCTATACAGTCAAATCTCGCTGTTCGATAAACATAAAAGGCTATATAAAAGCCAAGGATCTTCTGACTCATTATATCCCTTTCGAGCAAATACAATCTACAGTTAACTACAACATCGTTTCACAAATCCATGGAGCAGTCTGCGTATTTTGGCGGTGGTCAAGTACATGGTGGCAATGCGTCAGTCTACCTTGGTCGTGTATTTGATCCACAGAGAGGTAAATTAAGCGTATATTAATTTGAAAAGAAAATCTCTATTTTTAAGCATATGCTGCAAGGGCTTTCGGAGAAAATAGAATGGCATTTGCTAGAGGTTCCTTTTATCAGAGCGGATTTTTATTCTTTCAATTCCTCTTAATTTAGCTATTCCTGCCTATCATAGAGCTCCTCACCACGTCAATAATAGTGCCTACTATCCTGTTGCTCGTGCTTATGGAGAAAATCATCAAGTCAGCTATCCCAATGCGCCTCGTGATAATACTAGCGTCTACTTTCACCCTGTCCGTCCTCGCGAAAATCTTCAAGTCAGCTATCCTGGAGCTTCTAGTGGAAACGGTATCCTACTAATATTTAGTGTAGCTAATAAGTGTCCATTTATTTAGATATTCATGTCAGCTATCCTACCGCTTCTCATGCTGATACCAGTGAATACTTTCAAGATCTGAATATGGATGGTGCTCCTGCTCGTCCTTCTGGCGAAAATCTTCATGTCAGCTATCATAGCACTTCTCGCGGAAACGGTATCTTTTACTGCTATGTAATTGTACCTAATATCTAATATTTAGAAATTCATGTCAGCTACCCTAGTGCTCCTCATGGTAACAATAGCGTCTACTTTCCTCCTGCCCGTACTGACGAGAATCCTAATGCTAGCTATCCTCCATATCATGGCGCTCCTCATCATGGTACTAATGGCGAAAACTTTCAAAATCTGAATGGGGATCGTGCTCCTGCTCGTCGAGGCGGTAATATACATGCCAGCTATCCGAGCATTTCGTATGGTCTTCCTGCTAGTCACTATGGCGCTTCTTACTATGGAGGGATGCCTCCCGGTACCATTGCCTATCTCTAAACTACATAAAGAAAAGATGAATAAAGTATAAATCTAATTTATCAAAGTTCATCTTTGTGTATATGTATAGTATTAGTTTTATTCTGTCTACAGTAAATTAAATTGTGTTTGCTGTGTAAAAGAATTTCTGTAGTAAATATTTTGAAGATTTTTTATATGTACAAATTGCCTTATCTTCTTGAATTGACAAAAATCGGAATTGATTTTTTAAATTTACCGTCAATCTTTTAACCCTAAAAAACTAGTTAGTTGATTTTTATGTCCATTAGGGCGCAAAATTTTATTTATGTGTACTGACCAAAATTTTTTAAAATATATCTTGAGAATAATTATTATTTAATTAGTATTTTCGCTATTTTTATTTTCATTTTTTTCTAAATGTTTTTATTTCGTGACATTTTTGTTAAATTTTAACCCAAAAATTCTTTCAACGCCAAAAATGAGTCATGTATTTTTTCCCATTTTTAATCCTTCTCTTTGCCGTTTCTCCCAAAGGATTTGGAGAACAATTGAATTATAAATTTGTTCTTTAAAAGAGGAAAGGCACTTTTAGCCCAAAAATTTTATAAAAAATTTATTTTCTTCTTAAATTTCATTTTCTATTTTTAAATTTATTTTTCTTCAAAATTAAATCTAAAAAATGTACATTTCGTCAATTTGGAAAAAATTATTAGCAAATATCAGCTGTTTTCTCCTTTTGTTTCTTTATTCACTTTTTGGAGGTGTTGCATTTCTTTATTTTGAACGTGAAAAATCTCTTGAGGAATGGGACAAATTGATCGAAAAAAAATTTGATTGTATCGATTTTATTTTACGAAGGTGGATTTTTAAATTTGGAAGGATTTTAAATTTAAAGAAAATAAAATTGTGATGAATTAGAGATGATAATTAGCCCTTCCCTAAATAATAAGACTTGAAACGAGGGGGAAAGAAAGTGGCACGGCTTTTGAAGAGTATGCCATTTAAGTTATGGGTGGAAGTAATATAAAGAATGATATAATCTTATAAAAACAGGCTAATAATTATCCATAAAATGATAAAAGATTGAACAAAACTGGCAATGATGTAAAAGTGTTTTTGGAAACTTTCAAATTATCCCCCTCCCTTCTATAAGCATTAACAATAATTAAATTTATTAATCTGTAATTATCGTGGGAATTAAAAAAATGTTTTTAAATTAATACATATTAAGCAGATATTAAATTCCGATTTTTTCCCATTTAAGTAACCACTCAAAATTGTTGAAAAGTAAAAAGATCGCAGAGGAATGTCTTATTGGCATTTACGACCCAGTAGAAGACAGAAGAAGGCAAAGCTGGAACTTCCGGAATGCTTTTCTTTATGGATTTGGAATTTTAACAACTTTGGGTGGGTTTAGTTTTGAATAGAAAAAACTGTGATTTTTGAGGAAATTTAAAAAAAATTCAAAGCCATAAACAAATTTTGGCTAAAATAATTTGCATTGATCTGGACATTTGGCCGGTTTTTAGCTAGAGTTGACCCGACCCTCCCCGTTCCCGAAAGATTTTTTCAAAATTTCCCGACCCGACCCCCTCCCTGAAACAATTCGAAAACCCCGTACCCCGACAAACCCGCCCCCGAGCGTTCGGGTTGCAACCCTATTTCTAGCAATTGAGGATTCATATTCCCCAGCTAAACATCTCACTAAATAACAATTTAAAAACCAAGCTTAAAAGAACGAATATTTAATTTTATAAATAGATTAATGGCAAATACAAAAAAATTATACATACATAAAGAAATCTAAAAAACAAAATTTAAAGAAAAATAAAATTATCACCCTTATTGTTGGCTATCCCTTTTCATTAAAGAACCCTGCCTTGAATTTGTTGAAGTACCTGCTTCGCTTTCATCAAAAATCTTTTTTAATTGACTGACAGGCTTCTAAATATAGAATTTTTTATTTTATGATTCATTGGATAACAAAATCCAAGTATATTCTTAATTCTACTTCCCCTCATATCTTCCTTTTTTAATCTCAATATGTATTTAATATTCAATTATTAACTCAATTCCCCATGCATTAATATTAACCATTCCCTTCGGTTGAATAAAATTCCCCAATCCTATGGGAAATTAAAAAAAAACAATTCTTGGGAGGAATAATCGAGTAGGCAAATATGTAATCGAGTTGAATTTTACCTGCTTTTCTGCATGCATTCCATCAATAGGGTCCCAATCTAAAGAGCCTTCATCTGATGAATTATTCTATAAAAATTATTTTTATATAATCTAAAATATTTATGTCAAACTTCATCAAATTCTTGCCATCCCAACATTGTTGGATCTTCAATTCCTCTAGCTTTTGAACGGTGAAATGCTTGGCGCAATCTTCTTCTAGCCGCATGAAGTCTTGAACCATGAATTTTTTCCAAATCTTTGTTTATCTGAAAAATTTTCTTTTTTCTTTTTAATTCCTTTATGACAAATATTCTTTAAAGGGGTTGATAATTTTATGATAATAACCACTAATTTGAAAATTGATGGTTTAAGTTTGAAAGGGACGGCAAGTCGGGTTTGGGGTTAAAGTCAGATAGGGGTTTGAGTTACTATACCCTAAATAATTTCATAGCTTTTCCTCACCTCTTCACTTTGTGCTTCTGCATCAACTAAAACAGGCAGAGGTGTTTGTATCCTTTGATTTTTAGTTGGCTTCTCATCTGTTTGAACTTCTTGATCAGCAAGTTCAAGCAGTTCAAATGTTTGGACATCTTCATCGACACATAGAACACTGTCTGTTTGGATGTCTACACTCTGAGATAAAAATATTTAAGGTAAAAAATATTTTTAGTTAGAGAGATCGTCAGATCCGAAAGTCCCCAATCCAAGAAAACTGATTTTTCGAATAGGGACGGTCTTCTTAGGAAACATTTTCAAATTTCTTGTGGCATTTATAGGCCAAACTCTTTACCATGCTTGTACTTGGTGTAGTCATAGATTCTGCATCACGTTGTTCGATACTACATGTTTGTATTCCTTCATCCGTTGACCCACACCTTTCTGTTTGTTGTTCCTTTTCAACACCCATTCTTTCTAATTTAAAAGATATTTCTGTTTGACTAGCCATATCTTCATGTTCAACACGTATGGTTTGGTCATTCTTGTTTTCTCTTAAAATATTTGAATTAATCCAATGGATTATTTTGGAGAAAAATTTGTGAAGATTATTATGATGGTGGATGATGGTAAGGTCTTTTTGAGGTCATCCCTATCGAGGAGGATGAGGAAAAAATTAATCTACAATCATGACTTTGTCCTCAACTATTTTTGAAATATTTTCATTTTGATTTTTGTCCCAAAAATATTTTCCTAAAATTTCTCAATTTTCTCCTTTCCCTTAGAAAGTCTCTACTTACTTTTTCTTTATTTCTGTTTGTGTATTTCTATCCCTCGAAGTAAAGCTTGCAGATCTTCCACATAACAAACTGGAATGTGCACTTTGTAAATTTGGCCTCAATATTTGATCAACAATTGTTGATTGTATTTCCTCATCATTTGCCAACTCTTTTTTGTTAATTATCTGGTTAATTTCCTCAAAATGTTCAAAAATTGGAGGAATTTCCATTCCCGTCTCTCTAGCCTCTTCTTGCACTTTTTGCATTACAGAACGTTTTGTTGTATCACTCAACATTGGCATTAAATATTTTGCCGTCTTGTTAAGGCTCAAAGTTTTTATTACACCCATTGAGGCAGTTTTATGACTTCCATCTTTTGTTAAAGCTGCTTGATAATCTGACAAGATTTTTAGTAATAATTTCCGGTAGAGGTCTTCCAAGGAGTTTTGAATGACATTTATACACATTGAAACGAGGGAGAGGCCGATAATGACAAAAATGAAGCAGAGGACCATCTAAAAAATTTTTTTTGAAGGTTTTTACATGTTTTAGGAGCAAACCAAATCTCTTCTTTGAACATTAACATCCCCTAGGCCAACCGTTAATAATGAAATGAACATGAAATAGAGGGAGTCTCCGTATGTCCATTGATGCTATAATTTAAATTATTTCTATTTAATTTAAATTGCTTTAAAATTAAGCTTCAAAGATAACTATGTAGAAAACCTAGCTACAAGGGAGCATGAAACTGGTCTCGAATGTGTGAAAACTAATATCCAATCTCCAAGGATTACTGAATTTTAATAAATTTTCTTTTTGGGGTTTTGATTTGATCTGGCGAAGGATCAAATCAACAGAGGGGAAGGGCATTAATTAAAAAAATGTAGAATCCTTCCCATATTTTTAGGAGGAAATTTAAAAATAGTGGATTTGTTGGAGAGAGATACTAGAGGAGGATTCATTTAATAGCCTAAAAATTCTGATTCTATTAATTCGGGTCATAATTTATTTCTCTCAAAATGTCCTTTCAGATTTAATAATTTTTTTACCTCCCATAATCTAAATAATCCAGCACACAAAAATATCCAAGCAAAAGTGCAAGTAACTGCCACAATTACAGGCATTCTCGGAGCTTCAGTTACTTCTTCCTGTCTTTCTTCCTCTTCATCTTCCCAATCTACACTAGCACCTCCACCCTCATCCTCATCTACTTCACTTCCTTCTTTTACTTCTTTTACTAATTCTTCACTTTCTGTTAATGTATTTTCTTCTTTTAATGTTGGCAAAGAACATTTTTGGCCAGTATTTTCTTCACAATTATTGTCACTTTCGTTTACTTCCATTTTTAGGGAAAGATCGTCTGTTGTGGATTTTTCTTCTTCACCCTCAGCATTTCTGAAATTATTAATAAAAATTCTGATTTTATATTATTTATTTTTTAATTCTGATTTTTAATTCTGGAGAAATTCTGACTTTTTTCTCATTCTGTTTTAGATATTCTGAATTTATTTTTCTGATTTTAAATTTTTCTGATATTCTGATTTTTTCTGGTTTTTATTCTGTTGCCTAATTTAAATTTAATTCTGATTTTATTTCTATTCTTCTGATTTTATTATTTATTTTCTGATGGCTTTATTTTCCATTTTTAATTCTGATGTTTAATTTTGAATTTTATTTCTGATTTTTAGTTCTTTTCTTTATTTTCTGATTTTATTCTTTATTTTTATTTAGATTCTGATCTCTATTTTCCCTTATCTTTATTTTATTTTCTGATTTTCTATTCTGACAAAATATTTTATTAACGTACAGATGGAAGCTAACGGCTTTTGCCTGTTCCTCGCTTGTTTTAAATTGTATCTGTTGCCTGCCATTATCTCCATTCTTCAACCCCTTTTCCACATCATTATTCATTGCTTCATCTTTTCCTTTAGTTTTTAATCCCAAACGTTTCCGTAATTTTGCCCATATTTTATTAAACATTGCAAATAATTCGTTGATTGATTTGTAGAGAAATTTTCCCAGTTCATTTAGAGTAATTAACATTAATGGAATGCCTAAAAATTTTTCTAAATTTTATGGAATTTATGGAAAATTTATTAGATATCCCCTTTGTAAACCAGGCAGTTCATTGTTAACGAACATTGCCTAAAAAGGGTTACCTGAGGACCTCACAAAAATACCTTTCTATAACAAGAAAAGGGAATTTTCATGAGCCGATATTTTTATCGATAAAATTATTAGGGTTCTATTTAAATTATGGGCCTTTGTCTAAAAATAAAAATTCTTAAATTTTATTCTCTCTCAAAAAATTGGTTAATCATTTCTCCTTATTCATACTCTCATTTTAATTCTAAAATAAATAGACCCATTCCCTAATTTTTGTAAATAAAAATTTTAACCAAAAATAGCGTAGATCACTGTTGCTAGACGACCATAAAATGTTTCACAAGCAATGTCTCCATACCCTATTGTTGTGAATATTGTTCCAGCAAAATACCTGAAAAGATTAATTTTTGAATTTCCACACAATCTGATAAAATTCGGAAAAACTATGTATACCGTATTTATTCTAATAGAAACACAGTGGTTCTATTTTTCAACCCTCCAATTTTGTGTGGTTATATTAGAGACTGTGGTTCAAATAGAGACGTGTTTCTATTAGAATAAATACGGTATTTTGGGAAATGGGGTTGGAGAATAAATTTAGTCTGATCTGAACCTGGACTATCCGAAATTGAGAAAGTTTTCAATTTGATGATGATTAACTCTTTTCAGCCTCGATGAGTAACTCTTGATTTTCCTATTTATTCTCGAAATCTCATTGAAGATTGTAAAGCTTATACTCTAAAACGTTTATTAAGCCTCCCTCTTATTTTAAATCCAAAAAACAAACATAGAATTAGTAAAGGACCATTCAGGCAATCTAGGCAACGGATCAATTGAAAGTGTTATCCTTAAGTGATCAACTGCCTCTTCCACTTGTTCTCTCCTTTTTAGTATATCTCCACGAAAACTTCTATCCAACAAAATTTCTTCCATTCTTTTAATAAAAAGGCGCCTTTCTTTTTCATATTCCAAATTTCTTTAAAAAATTTCTTCAGGAATTTTTTAAATTTTCCTTTTAACCTTTTCGCAATTCGTTCTTTTTCTGCAGCCTCCTCTAGCCACAAAAAGAGAAATGCACCAATTATCATATAAAACAATACAAAAAATAAGGGTATCAAGTGCTTTATGTGCCATTTTTGATAAATGTCTTTTGCTATTTGGCCAATTAATTTTGGGTCCTATTTGAGGGAAAATTTGAATTTTTATTTTATATTTGATGATTTTCTTTAATTCAATTAAGAACATACCCTCAAAAAACGTCTCACAGTATCTCCTCTCCCTCTCAATCTCTGTATGGATTTTCTGGCCCTTTGGCTCGCCCTCCTGCGAAGTCCTGTGTGCGCAACTGAGAGTCGTCTGATCATACCTATTGAACTGCTTGAGGCTGTGGGCCTCAGATTATGCCTAAAAATCGATTTCAAACGAAATTCTGACAAAGTCACCTCGCCCTTGGTGACTGCTGAGAATGTCCAGAGCCAAAAGATGTTGTACTTGGGGGACCATGTCTAAATCCTGAAGACGTGGATTGGGGTGTTTGTGGCTGTGCACGTTGTTTACTGAAGAGAATGGGCATTTTTGGGAATATAATTAAATTAGGAGATCAATGTTTTCAACAAAAAGTATATAAAACGGCAATAATAATTACAACCAAAAATATTAAAAGAATTATCTGAATCTTATAAAATTTATTTGAGTATAGGGGATGTTTGGGATAAGAAAATTAAAAAAAAAATTTTCAATCTTTAAGCTTAGGCGAGATCTCCTGCGAGATTACGCACTGTTCTAATTTTCTGATTAAAACCCTTAAGTGTTCCACGATTGCGATTTTATCTATCTCTAAGCTAAAGCATGGAAAAAGATAAGAAATTATTAGCTTTAAAATCGAAGCTATTTAGGGTATTCGGATCATTTGATTCCCTAGAATCTCGCACTGTTTTAATTTTTTATCCAAAACTTATATGATCAAGAATTGAGACTTTACCTATCTCAACTAAAGCATGTAAAAAGGGGGTATGTAAGCTTAGAGGGTATATAAGATTAAAAGACGAGGCTATTTTAGGATTTAAACAACTCTTAATATGATCATTATTAAAAAGAAATAAGGAAGATTGGATAAAATTTCCTTCATTTCTCTCATAAAATAAATAACATGCAACAAATTTACACAGATCAAAAGTTTAAAAAAAATATAAAATCACTAAAAAATTATCGATTTATTAAAAATCTTCTAGTTGAAGATCACGTTTCTCAAAAAAAATTTTTTTCCTCAAATATTTTATCCCAAAAGCATTTCATTTAAGCTAAAATGCCTTCTGTTCGGGCAGATGACAAAGGCCCGTCACTTTTTATTTTTATTCTCATTACATTGCAATTTATGACTTTTTGTTGAAGCAACATAAAATGAGAGATTTTTGGGTGTTCTTTTGCCCAAAATATTTTTTCCCAAACACCAACTGTTTTTTAAAAAATTAAAAAATATTATATTTCAAGTAATATTGAGCATGACAAGCTTTTTATCCTTTTTTCCTTTCAAATTTTTCTTTGTAAAACCATCATTTTGATTTATGTCTATAAGTGATCGAGAAAGCCTTTTTAAAACCCTCTATAGGCAGTTATGAACATAATTTATGATAAATTGCCTGAGGGTATTTTAAAATTAAAAAATGAGAAATGTGTTTATTTTCACACTTGTGAAGGAAAATAAATAAAATAAAAATATTTCTGGAAAAATATAAAAAAAATTTTTTAGGTTATGGAAAAATTGAACCAGAGACTATTCAGGCACAACTATTTACTGTTGTATGGGGCTTTTTCGGTGTTCCATTCACTGTTAGTTTTTTGTTTTCTCCGAGTTAATCACCCTTCTAGAGCTATTATAAAATGTTTTGGGGGGTTTTTGGGGAAGTGTCAGATTTTGAGTTTTGATTCTACAAATAGATCAGAAGATTGCATTTATCGAAGAGACTCGTTATTAGGTTATTGGAGAGGGGCAAAACCGAATAAATTTAAAATAGGAATTAGACTGTTAGCTTATCTTATCTGAGAGTATTATCAACTTTTATTTATCACGGATCTACTTAGACTGTCCAAAAATTCAAGATTGGTGTTTATTGGAATAAATATTGGATTAAAATTAATAAAAAATAAATTTTGAGGTGATAATTCTGACTAACTTGGGTCTTTACATGCGTCGAATGGAGAGATATCTAAGAAAAAATTATTGTCAGAGGAAGCAACGTAATAGGATTTTCGACGGATTGGGACGCTTCCTCAAGTATTCTTTCATTAAATTTTTTTATTTTAAAAAAAAGAGGTGAAATGCTGATTAAACTTTTTGGATGTAAAAGAAAGGAGTCAAGCATTAATTCTGTGCAGGATGAAGATGAGGAAACAATATCCTTAAACCCTTGGTTTTATGAAGATGAAGAGCTTGAAAATGAATATGAGGCTAAACAAATATCTCCCTTTACATTAGCTGCTATAGTTTTTACTTATTTGGTAGGTTGAAGGGGATGATTGGAGGAATTTTATGACTGGTCTATTATAAAGAATCTGAGAATTTAAAGCTGTTATCAAGCGATCTTCTTCCATTATAACCGGATTTCCCATCATAATACTTTTAAATCCGATTCCCTAACATTTTTCTGAATCCATCTTAAAGTCTTTGGTTTGAGGAAAGCAGAGATTCTCGAGCCAGGTTAATGTCGGAGGCAGAAATAGGGGAATATTATGTCGTGATCAGAGCTGCTTCGAAACTGAGGAATTTTTGAAACTCGTAAATCGTAAATCGAAAATATTTCAAGAATATCGAAAACGAAAATAATTTTCAACATTTACGAACTCTAAAATCGAAATTTCGAAAATGCTCTGGTCATTATAATGTGTTTAGGTGGAGAATAATCCTGAAAAAAAATTTACAGGCTGCTGGAGCTGTATTACTTCCTCTACTCCAAGGATGCTTCCAATTTATTGACGGCCTATTTTATTCTTATCTTTGCTTTACTGCTATTGAATATGGACATTTAATACCAGAAAAGTTTTTTTTTAACTTTACATATTTTAAATAAATTTTGAAGTAATTCTTTAATTCCCATTGTTCTCCTCTATATGTGCATTGGATTAGTTCTGTCAACAATTGCTTTAGGTGAGTTATAAGAAAATTATTCTCAAAGGTGTGGAACAAATATATTCTTAAAATTTACTCTTAAGTCATCCACTTAAGTAAATGTTTTATTTTCTTTTTCGAGGCCCCTTGAATCGAAATCGTGTAACAACTATCATGTGATTTTTCCACGTGTTTTAAAAGACTTTGAAAACAGGCTTTAGTTAGAAAAAGTTCCATTATTTGTTTAAATAAGCGTTTATAAGGTGAGTTGGACAATTCATAAAATAATCCTTTAAGATGTTGGCTCAAATTATGTTCGAAGTCTTTACTATTTGGGCAAACAAGCAACCAGTATTGCCCATACAAGTTTCTTTTATGGCTCAAAAACGTAATTTAAATAAAACCAAAAAATTTTTACTAAAAATTTTAAAGAGTAACAGTAAAAGATTTAATTAGCGCTGTTGGTCAAGCTATTGGAATGAGTCCAGAATCTATGGAAAAGGTTGATATGAATAGAATGGTGGGTGATGCTATTGCTGTAAAGGAAGGACAACTTGATAAAGTTGGACAGAATTATATGTTTTTGGTATGTTTTGGTTTTGATAAAGCTGGATATGAAACAGAAGTATATCTAGTGGAGGGCTACATAAATTCCAAAACCAAAACATTTCATTGATCAAGTGCAGAACCCGAATGGTCCGCTCTCTGATCTGTATATAGGCTCATGCTTCTTCAAATTCTCAAATTATGATTTGCTGTGAAAAAGCGTGAGCCTATATACATGTCTTGCACACAGTCCTTATTTCTGATATTTTTAATGTATCAAGAGATAACACTTATCATTATGACAACAATATGAATGCCCAGTAATGGGATCATTTAAAATATAACCGAGTGATCCCGACTTTTTCTCTTAATTCCCTTCCAATTGCTTAGATCATCTCCACATTTATTTTTACCAAATCTTCCAAATTAAATTTCCCAAATCCCAATTTGTATTTTTCAAAGGAAGGAATTTGGCCACCCGAACTCATTCCACTCTTTCAAAGAGACGGCGATTTTCCCTCCTGGGTAGATGCTGATGAACTGAAACGTTTATCATTACGACCACCTACAAGTAATGGAATTGGGGTAATTCAAAGGCATGAAGAATTAGCTCCAATTTTATCTTTATCAACATATTCAAATGGACAATTACATCGTTCATTACATTCAACATCTACAAATTCTCAAAATTCAAAGGAAAAGAGAAATAATAAAAAGAAAATGGGGGAGAAAAAGAGAGAAACAACAATGACAGTTTATTCAGATACGGACAAAAATAATAATAATGGAAATAATAATTGTAAAATTAGTACAAAAGATATGTCTAATATTATTCCTTTTATTTAAATAAATTTTTATTTTGTGAAAAAGAGTGAGGGTATACATAATTGAGTAACAACCTCAACTGAGTTCAGACCAAGTGTGTCCGCAAATGAAAAAAAATTTCCGCAGACGCAGTCCGCAGTCCGCAACAAAATTGTGATATGTATATTAAATATTATTCAATTTTAATTTTTTTAATATTGACAGCTAACCAAATAAATTTTCTAACAAAATTGAAAGAGATATAATAGAAAATTAGAAAAAATTTTTTTTATTGGATTGATTTTTTAATTTAGAAATTTTGGAGTTTTAGCCAGTTTTTTAAAAAAAGAAAAGAAGAATTTCAGAAGCTGGTGGCTGAACAACAGTGCTGAAGTAGAAATTCTGATTCATCTGAATTATACTGGAAGGAAGTTGAGGTACCATGCGTTTATGTTAGGTATCGGGCTTGCCGTACTTAAAAATTGGAAGTGGAAGAGAAAGCGGAACATAACTAAAAGCGGTAGACGGAACCCGAGAGCGGAAGGGTGAAAAAAGGCGGAATTCTGCGGAAAAAGAAAAAGCAGGAGCGATGGAAAAATAAAATGATTTTTTATTAATGTTAAAACTTTAATATTGAAATTTGTAATATTGTGATGTCAGTATAGAGGCGAAAATTGGAGATAATGTTATGATGATTGAGTATGTACCAGGATTGGATTATGGGGGATACCGTATTTATTCTAATATAAAGACAGTCTTTAATAAAACAACACCCTAGAAGTGTTGAAAAATCAAACGACATGTCGTTATATGATTAGAATAAATACGGCCAGCTTATTCATCATTTGCCATGGCAATAAAATTTATTGTCATTTTGCCTTGGCAATAAATTTGCGTTTTAGACTATAATTAATTTTTTGAGAATATCAAAAACAAGAAAATGTTAAAAAAGTTACGCACAGCAATGCTTCTAATCCAAAAGTTGGTGGCTCAGAAAATCGAACCATGGCTTAAAAATAAAAGTTGGGTATTTAATTCTCTAATATCTTTTTAGAAAATTTATTTGTTTAGCTGATAATTTTTTTTAAAAAAATTAAAATTAAATACTTTTTATTAAAATAAAATTATTCTCACAGGTATCTCATAATTATTTAGTTTTTTGGTTCTATGCGTTTACATCCCCGCATTTTACTTTCACCCTTTTTTCATTAATAGCTATAGTACTTGATAACGATCAAATACAAAATGGAAACCAAATTCTTGAACCTTACGTATGCCGATACTTACCCAGCTCTGCTTTTTAAAACGTGAGTTTATGTCATGAAATATAGCTTCTGAAATTATCACAATACAGGTTCTAAAAGTAGAGCTGGGTATTTATCCCCATAGAAAAATCATTTTTTGGAACTTTTCCATCATGACGTCACACATCGAAAAATGTTTTAAAATGCCCCTATTTTGTTTTTGTCATTAATTATGTACTAATTAAGCATTGCCACATTATTTTTTGGTTATTTAAGGAAAAAATACCAATTTAATTTTAAAAATGCAAAGAAATTTTATTAAAAAATGCAAAGTTTGTGGGTCTAAAGAAAATGTTTGTTTTCATTATGGAGTCTGTACATGTAGGTCTTGTGGGGCTTTTTTCAGGTATTTTTTAATAAAATTTGGAAAAATTTTTTTCCAAAAGGCGTTATCTTGAAAACGAAAAAAAGTATAAATATAGTAAATGTCAATGTTTGGAAAAACAATTGTTGTTAAAAGAGAAGAAAACCGAAAAATCCGGAACACATTGGGAAAAATGTAAAAAATGTAGACTTGATATATGTTTTTCTGTTGGAATGAAAAAATTGGGTTTGTAAAATATTTAAAAATACTAGTTTGGTTCATAAAAAAGTTTGTTTTTGTTATCACTTATTTTTTGAGTGAAAACTATTTTTTCAACAGAGTGGGTGACAAAAACAACAGGGACTTTCTCTTAGCCCTTTAAACCAGGATATGTATCAATCGAAAGATAGTCTATCCTGAAATATGCCAATTACGATAATAAAACACAAAGTTGATTTGAGGAAAAAATATTAGGACCCACTTTGGTCCCTTGCACAACTAAATATCAAAAAACTGTATGTCATGTATTCTTTTGAACTTGTCGATGAATGAATGGTAAGCTGGTTGCGGCGCGAATGTATGAACCGCACAGCTGTTTGAGTCAAATTAGCCTGAATAAAGATGAAGAGGAGCTGAGCCAGTTGGGGGTAGCTAAGCTGGAATGTCCCGGGTATCCTCAATTCTTCGATAAATTGTCCGACTCTTTTATGGGAACATTTCATGAACCAACTACTAATCTAAAAAATAATCTTAGATATTGGATATGTACGTCAAGATATATGCCGGGAAGCAATGGAAGAACAAAGAAATGAAATTAACGTAAATTTATTTTTTGATCGGAAAAAGTTACTGTAGAATCGGTAATTGTAAAGAATTCTGCAAATAATATTTAAAAAAATAATATCTTTAAAAGATAATATTTTATATATGGAACCCTGTATTTTTTATGAAAAATTCTGTACTTTTTAAGCTTCCAAATCCTCCAATTGTCGAAATATCCATCAAAGATCAACAACAATTAGATTCAATTTTACCAATTATTGAAGCCAAAAAACGTATTATGCATGCATTTAATGATTTGGATGATATATTCCTTAAAGGACCGATTTTGTTTGAAGAAATAATTTCATCTAATTTTAATATTTTTCGTTTAACTGACACTTTTTCGGTAAATTTTAATTTAATTTTTAGTAAAAATTAATTTTGACTAAAGCCAAATCCAAGTCCAATACCTTTTGATGAATTAAATACTTGGGAATCTTCATTTCAAACTGAGGGAATATTTAATAGTAGAGTTCAAAAATGCATTTTAGTTGACAGACTTTTGTGTGTTGGTATAGCTAGATCTATGTCTGTTTTTGAGAAATTGACTTTATCTGATCAGGTATGAATAACTACATACATGGAGGTACATAAAAATTTTGGCACAGAGTTCCGCGTTAAT